CAACGGCGCCGGCCTGCGTTGAGGTTGAGGTTGAGGTTGCGATACACGAGGGGAATACAGAGGACGGAGAGAAGTGTAGTACTGCGCCATGTAGGACGAAAGGTCGCTACGTGCCGCTCTGGGACTTTGACGCACCGATGGAGCAGGAGGGCGAGACGTTAAAGCCGCCAGGTCCGCGACTCGTCGGCGGGTGTGATCGTCGCGGACGGCATGCTCCTCCTCTCGCAGGCGTTGCGTCGACGGGATCGGCAAGGGCTTTCGGAGCGGTTTCTGGAGGCTGCGGTTCGGATCCTTCGGGATACTATCGATTTTTGTGGCGGTGCTGCTGACGGCGGCGACGCCCCTTTGCTGACTGAAGATATGCTGCCCGGAAGGACGTTTGATGGCATCCTTAAGAATGGTACTGCGAATCGAACAATAATGAGTACGCGCGGAGGCGACTGTATGAACCACGGGCTGATATACGGCGATTGTTATTTTGTTGAGTGCGGGAGTCGTCTTATGCAGATGGGCCTGGTGTAGACTCGTAGAGTATCTCCAGAGCAAATAAGGGGACGGACGGCCCTTGGATAGAAAAAAGTCTTGAGTAGAGTGCAAAGCTTACGTCGTGAATAGCGCGTGATAGATGGAGTTTCTTAGAGGAGCGATTATGTCGATTCAGTCGATTGGTACCGAAATTCAGCGCATCTGCGAATGCCATCGTTAGTGTGGAGATGAGCTGTGGTGATGTGTGATGGTGATGGTTGGTCGGTCCATGGTCAAGTTTCCACGTGAGGAAATCAGTAGCCCGTATTAGGTAACGGTCGCTTCGCCAAGCGAAACAGGTACGTACCTAAGGTAAGGTAGGTACCTTACCTCAGTCTACAGATACATCGCTACACGACTTGATCGCATCTTCGCACGAAATGAAGGAGAGGAGCTGCCATTCCTCCCCACCAGAAGGAGCTATTACCTAGGTACCTAGGTAGGTAGGATCTCCCCACGAAGTTAGGTACTCAGACCTCCTCCATCCGGCCGTCATCCTTGTCGATCCTCGGGCTTTTGAATTTTTGAAGCCGATGCCAGCCAGACAGCAGACGGTGTCGGTGGCCGCCGCGCGCCAGCGAAGCAGGTCCAAACAACGTCGTTAGTTACGGTCAAACCTTTTCTTTTAAACAAAAGAAAATCCCAGCAGTGATTGACGCATTCGTTGACGTTGGTCAATATGTTTCGAGTGAAATTAAAGTGAGAAGTACGATGCAGATGTCGCGTAACTTCGCATCATTCGTCGTCGGTCTTCACTTCGTAAGGTACCGTACCTACCTTAGGTACCTACCTTATTATTAGTGACGATGCAGCATTGGAAGTCAACCCCCTACGGTACTAACAAGAGATACGATACCAGTACCATCTTTTCTTTTCCTTCCCTCCCTTCCCTTCCTTTCTTTTTTATTTTATTTTCCTTACCCCATCTCGTTTCGCCCGTTTCTCACTGTTCCTGACACTAATGACGTCGACATCTGCTAGCGAAGCCAAAGAGAGCGCTTACCCTCGGAATTCCCACCCCTGAGCTTACTGACCCGTGACCATGGTTGGAGCCGCCAGTGAGCTTGGAACTGACGGAATGGGGACGGAATCGGGACAGATATGGGGACAGATATAGGTTCCTTGTTCTGGAGATCTGTCTGCTAGCATGATCATTCTCTCTTACCATCTACCTTTGCGTTAAACAGCTCGCTCGTAATTTGACATCTTTAGCATCTACCAGCTCGAAAAGAACCATGGCCGCTCAGTCCACGATTCGCCATGCCCGGCGTGAAGGTAAACCATCAATCCCCTATCCATTATCCACCCTATTTACCTTGAGACTCGCCGACAAGAGACACCACTAACGTATTTCATTCGCCTTGAAGATGTCCCCGCCATTCTATCCTTCCTCAAAGCAGGAGCAGCAGAGCAAGCCCCAGGCACCGAGATACCCGCAACCGAAGCCCGCATCGCCGCCACCTTCCACTTCGACCCGCCATCATCACACCCCCACGACCCGTCTTCTCCTCCTCCGCCTACTCCTTCTCCCACTCCTCCCGCGACCGCACCAACCCCCCAGTCCAACGGCCACTCGTCACCGCCACCCCTACCCCCCTTCGTCCGGGCCCTCCTCATCATAGCGCCCGAGACGGGCCAACCCGCCGGCCACGCCATCTACTACTACAACTACAGCACCTGGATCGCCCGCCCGGGCATCCACCTCGAGGAGCTGTACGTGGTCCCGGAGTACCGCCGGCGCGGCTACGCCAAGCTCCTGATCGACGCGCTGGCCGCCGAGGCCGCGAGGGCCGGGTGCGTCAAGCTGGACTGGGTGTGTTTGCGGGACAACGAGCGGGCGTTGCGCTTCTACGACGGGTTGGGCGTCGAGAGGATGGAGAATTGGATGGTTTTGAAGGCGGATGAGGAGGGGATTGCGAGGTTGGCGGCTGGTAGCCGGCGGGGGGGATAAGATGGGTTGTTCTCGAGTCGAGGGGATTTTGGGTGGGAAGCATAGATGTTGCGGCCGAGTTGAGACGAGAGGCTCAATTTCGTTCGCTGGAATGTCGGCATGACATCAATCAGGGCTAGTTAGAGTAGAGAGCAAGCACAGTGGCACAAACGCGAACAAACATAAGGCTTCCCGGCCGTGCATAACCACCAAAGAAAATGCCAAGCTCTCTGCTTCACAGCAGTCGAACATGACTCGCAGCAAACGGATTTTATTCATGGGAATGCCACGACTATAGCCTGTCGGTGCCATGCACCCAAAGACGCCTCACAAGAGGATTCCTCTACACTACCGAGGTCTAGCCAAGTGAATGGCACCCCAAGTAGCCCATGTAAACCCATTTGCCAGCCACTGCTGCCTTGTACGTTTTGTTTTTTTCCTCCACCACACACGTACGCCTCATCGCAAAGCAGCACGTTTAGATGGCAAGCCTCTCAATCTTGTCCCGCAGAGACCGGATGGGCCCGGCGAGCTCACTGGCCTCGTTGGCGTTGATGGACGCGGCGATCACGGGCCGGCTCACACCGCAGGCTCGGCCGAGAGCGATCTTGGAGGGCACGTAGACGTACGGGACGTTCTTGTCTTCGGCGAGGAGGGGCAAGTGCAGGAGGATGGCGAGGGGTTGCGTATCCGCGGCCAAAACGACCACTTCGGCGACACCGCGGTTCAGAGCCTTGGTCACTGTTGGCGGGGGGGGAAGGTTAGCCATCACATTCTTCAACATAGTTGCGCAGATGACAGGGGAGGAAGTGTGGGAGATGTCAATCACAAGGACGTCTGACAGCAAGCGCACAAAGCACCGGGGAATCGGTCTCGGTTACGTACCTTCGTTGGCGCCCTTCTTAGCCTGGCGGAAATGGGTGGCCTGCTGGAGGAGGTCGAGGATCTCCTGGGACATGGTAGCGTCGGCCAGGGGCCAAGCTGGGATGCGGTCAGTCAAGGGACAGCCCATGGGGAAGGAATACTCGGGGCTCATGAATTCGTACCGGCGCTGGGAGGTTCTTGGGACATGTTGACAGGTGGGTGACTCGCCCGGAGGTTCACTGTCTAAAAGACGGTAGGTGGTGGGTAATGAGGTGGTGAAGTTGAAGAGAGCTTGGGAAATGTTGCGTCTGGGGAAATTTTCCGTCAAAAGTTTTGGTCCATTGGAATTGGTGGAGCATGACTGCTTAGTAATCCACGTCGGAACCTGGAATGCAGCGACCTGGAGTTATGGGGTTTTGTTATCTTATCGTACACAGTGCGTATTGTGTGGGTATAGTGTATACACGGAGTACAACTCGTATCATCCGAACCAGGAAGAACGTACCTTAGCGGAGTACTCAGCGGGGACTGGATATCTCTAATATATTTACTCACACATTCCTACGTTGATCATTGTAGTCCATATCAACGGGCTTCCAGAGTACTCCAAACAAATCGACCTTGATAAGTTGGTTACCAACGCATGGAGCGATCTGATGGGTTCTCACCGATGAGCTTCACTTCGAGAAGTCGGGAGTCAAGGGACCAGAGGACGGAATTAGGTGTAGATCCGCACCGGTTCCCCGTCTTCCGTCACTCAGCCGTGATGACAAATATGACCGCATCGCCCCACGCCGGGTTAGCCGCGCTGTTCGGCGTGCCGTCGGGCGCCGCGGCGTTAATATTGTAGTGAATCAGCGTGGCACCCTCCTGCGCCAGCTCGCGCAGCGTCCGGATGGTATCATTGAGAAGTCCCTCATCCTCCCAGTTCTTCCGTGGGATGAGACGCGACCCCGTGCGGACTTCTGCCATGCCGACGGTCTCGGCCGGGTAGAAGCTATCGTACTCGAAAAACTCGGGCTGCAGGGGAAACCCCAGGCCGGCCCGCTCGTCCAGCAGGGGCCCGACGAGCTTCCGCACCTGGCACCCGCTGGCGTTGGCGACGATCCACGGATTCATGGTCCACATGTAGTTCCCCGGCCCGATAGGGAAGATGAAGGTATACCCGTACGACCTCTTGTCAGGGTACTCCGAGAACTCGACCGCCTTCCAGAAGGTATCTTCGGTGAGTCTGGCAACGGCATGGGTCGGTCGGCGCGGAACACCCTCACTTCAGAGTCGAGGAAACGGGACGAAGACGGCGGCGCCATGCGGCTCAAGGAGCTCCGACCAAACCGGTGCCATCATCACACGGAGATCGCGGGAAGGGGAGAGTCGCCGACGGGTTCGGAGGAGGAGATCATGACGTACAGCGGCATCATAAGGACGACGAACGTCGATATGGCGTATCAGACGCATTCCAAGAGGAGGAGCATGGCTACTGATGAGGAGTCGCTGGCGTCGACTGTGGATAAGGACGAGGGAAAGTCGCGAGTGAGGAATTCTGGCATGGCGCTTTTACGTTGACGTCGGGACTCGGGACGGGTGTCGCACAGACCTCCCTCGGGGTAGAACAACCTAACGGCCGATTACCAAGGGAGTAATCAATCCAACCCACGATATGGATCGGCTCACCCGAAGAAGGGATTTATGTACGTAGCTAGTCAGAGTGGTCAAAAACATAATGTTCGATTGGTGAAATCGAGGGGCTATTCCTCCTACTCGGGTGTGCCGGGCTTGGCCACATGGCGTGAGACTGGAGTCGTATGGTTGAAGGTGGAAGGGTTGCATTCGAGAAGAAAGTGTCCACAGAGCCAAGACTAAGGAGATGAATCCCGGGCTGGAAACAGCTGGAGATTGGGTGATATACGTGCAGGAAATTTAGTTCATTGATTATCAAAGACGCAGGACCGAAGGAGCTGCCTTGGTAAAGCAAAATTTATAGATTACTGATTAGAACTTTGGATATTTACTGGTACCTGTGGTTTGAATGTCAGTGTGAAGTCTGAAGTGTGAAGTCTGATTGATATTGAACACTGTAAGGGAGAAGTGAGGTTTAGGGCTACCTGTGAAAGAAATCTGTAGAATCATTGAATGTAGGGGGAAAGAGTTGACTACTTTAGAGGTAGGAACTAGGAAGTATTATAATGAAAGTAAGGATGTGAGTGAGAATCCCCGAGTAAATAGAGGCAACCTGCCGGAGTGATTAAGCAAAACAAACAAGAACAAACGAGAGCAAAGTGGGCAAGCACGCGTTCGTTCTTTCCATGGATCAACAATGGCAGGTCCTATCGTCAACGCATCAGCAACACTCCGCTCCCCACAAGGAAAAGAGCATAAATAGTAGTTCACCTCACATAAAGCGCGCAACTTCAACTTTTCCCTTTCCATCACTGCTCAGAGTCAAGGCTCATCAAGATTCATAATACCCTGACAGTTGACTTTTGAGAAAAAAAGACTTCCACTCGTCTACCACACCTTCTTCCCCCCGTCTTTGGCCTACCTCCTTCACTTCAAAGCAAAGCAACCTCCACCATGCGGTTCAGCACTCTCCTCCCCGTCATGGCTGCCGCCGTCACGGCTTGCCACAAGACAACCGAGTACTTCGACGGCTACAAGTACATCCTCTCGGGCCCCAAGAACCCCGCCCCCAAGGCCGAGTACGAGATGGCCGCCGCCCAGACCGCCATCACTCTCCTCACCGAGCGCCTCGGCGCCAACGCCCTGCTCGACCTCGTGCAGCCCGAATTCGCCGACCCGCACGACGACCTGCTCAAGGCCCTCCCCCTCATCAAGGAGCGCATCGGCGCCGACGGCCTGATCGACCTCCTCCAGCCCGCCATCGCCGAAGCGGACGCCTACTGGCACGACGTGCTCGACAAGTCCGGCTCCGGCTGGGTCGACGCCAGCGGCCGCGGCGTCCTATTCCTGCCCAACATGACGGCGCAGCTCTTCGCCGGCTGGTCGCAGTCCCCGCTCGCCGACGAGGCCAACAACGCGGGCAACCCGGAGCACTACCTCAAGCGCACCCGGGAGATCGCGCCCGGCGTGCTGCGGTCCGAGATCCTCGAGGGATGGGGCGGCGTCACCACGCACTTCACCGTCGAGGACTACGGCATGCCGCCCAACCGCCAGAAGTGGCCTTTCCTCAACACGCTGCCCGACTTCCCCATCCAGGCGGCCGGTGGCAAGACGCTGCTCGATGGCACGCTTTTCGGGGTCCTTCACATCTCCGTCCGCGATGTGCCCGGCGAGGAGTTTGGCGAGGAGCAGGACGGTATTGAGATCTACGCTTCGGTTTGGTATGGCGATGGGGTCGATGACGACCATCTCGAGGATGAGCGTACGCACATTATCACGGAGATTGTCAACCTCAGCCTCCAGGCTCAGAGGGATGTTGAGAGCGGTCGCTTCCCCCCTTCTGGCAACTAAGGAATGAGAAGGATTGCCATGGTGGGAATTGGAAAGATGGAATCTATTCTCTGGTGATGGGGGACGAGGGATTGAACGGGGCAAACTGTACGTACATGGTACTTAGATCTGACTGCATCGTCGGTCCATAATACACCCCGGAGATCTCACGCCTTCTTGAAATGATTAGGTACCTACCTCGTTGTATGTCCGTTTGCATGTCAATGGTCCCATTTCAATGTCCCTTTTTCGAGGAACAGGAAGGAACAGTGGAGAGGGGAAAATCCAAAGTGACCTTCTGTTGAATTGACGGGAGCGTGCTTGCAGGGAGCGTTGATTCAGGAAATATATGATTGTATTGTCCATAAAAGAGAAAGACAAAGGGGGCGGGTATACGTGTCCTAAATATATCTGCCACCTTCTAAGCGAGGATAGTGGGGCACCTCTAACTAATAGGAGAGCACTATACCGTGGCTTACGTGATAGAATATAATATACCCCCTAATTATTACGCCGTGATTAGCGGAACGATTACTTAGCCTAACCTTAACCTAGCCTTATTTTTAACCTTAAAATAGCCTTAAAGGGTCGTGTGATACCCTTAATATCGAGTTAAAAGGCAGGAATAAAAGCTATAAAACAGCAAAGAATAATAATAATAATAGTAGTAAATAATAAAGGAAAAGTGCTATTAATAGCAGTAGTAAATAGGTAATAGTAGGGCCTTCCGTAGATAAATTAAAGGCGTTATGCCGGCGTTTTAGAGCTTTTGGATCTTCCCCTTATAACCCTCGTTCCGTTGTTTTTGAGGATTTTTTGACGATTTTAATCTAAATTTTCCAATTTTTTCCTATTAATAGCAATAAAAATAATACTAATAGCGATATAGTGAGTATCGGAGCTTTATTTTCAGTGGCACGTGCTAACCGGTAGCGTCGTTTAGGCTCCTCCTACTATCTCCGCGGTTACCGGGCAGCTACGGCTAAGAAGGCCTCGACCAACGGCGTTAAGAAGAATAAGGGCAAGGGCGGCGGTAAAAAGGGTGCTTCTATAAGTCGTTTTAGCGCGTTTATCTTTGATCCGTCTGCTCTGGTTCCGGCTAACCCTTTAATAGACTACTAAGGATAGTAATAATAATAGTAATAAGGATGCCGAAGAAGCCTTTGTTCTGGTCCCCTTCGACCCCCCCTACCTGGAATACGTAAAGGGTATTTATTCTAGTAAATAGCGCTTATTTAATTACTATATTTCGGTTCCTGGCCGCTTTAACCGCTACTAAAAGTATGAGGATAGGAGCTATATATACCACCCTCTATAAGTTCTTACCCCCTATCTAAGGCGCTTTACGATCGTGATCGTGTGCTCTATTTCGTATTAGCTCGAAGATATATACGCTATTAAGCTTTACGACCGCTAACCTATGCTTATAGTTTTTCTAGCCTTATATCCTTAGTTAAAATTCTTTTTAACTATATTATAGTCCGTAAAATTAATAAGGACTCTAACGACGACGATAAAAAAGTGCGTTTATCGCTTTATTTCTAAATTTAAATGCTCTGACTAACTGTTTCGCGCAGTTCTTTACTAAACTTAAGTAAACAGTGAAGTTTATAATTAAGTTAATAGGTAATAACGATAACGAGAAGTTCTTTAAGAAGGAGGAGCTTAAGGGAGCTTCTAACTAAGGTCCTAGTACGCCGATTACTACCTCCACCTCCTAGCTTACGGGGGTTATAATAGATATTTTACGGGAAAACGGTTTTATTATTACTCCTCTGGCTAGAGGAAATAGCGTAAATATTATATAGAACGGTGCTTAGGATAGTACTAATAGAGCTTAGTGAATTATCTAGTATACTTCTTTTTATATTTTAGGTTTTGCTTTTAGGTTTTAGTATAGTGTTTTAGTATTATAATAACGAGATACCTTTTTTACTGAATTAATTATACCGCCGGTATACGGTACGCCTAGGGCGTAGGATTTTCGACCTTAACTGCTTCTTTCCACCCCCTCTATGCACTGATTATATTAAGATATACTCGGAAGTTCTCGAATTTTTATCGTGGAAGTGCTTTCGTTAATCCGTCCGCTAGTATTAAATTCGTAGTAAGATATACGACTCTGAATAATCCCTTTACGTTCTCCTGCTTTACCTAAAAGCGCTATATATCTATATAGCAAAGCCTAGTCTTAATTCTAAAGCTATCGTTAACTATTAGGCGTCTCGTTTACGTGTTATTATAGTGGATATTCTAAGGAGATTCTGGATTAAAGCGTATTTCGACGAAAAGACGCTTTAAACCTATTATTTC